ACTACTTTACACTACTGGAATTACAGCACCAGTTCCAATCATTCAGCAAAGAGGTGGCACGATTCCCTTCTTTGAGTTCAAAGTGACATTTTTCCTAAGCATACCAAGAGCAGTCCTTTTCCCCAGCTTTCACAATTGGTCCCTGCTAGGGCCATCTGTAAGAGAGGAGATAAAGCAACAAAATCTTAGCTACCATCCCACCATTCTTCTTTAGTCTACAAACAACTGCCCTGACCCTTCACCCCTAGTGTTCAGACTCTCAGTGTGTGGGTGACTCATGAACATCTACAAGTCCTCTGAACCACCACTTACTTCTTTATGCACCTCCATCGAGCCAAAAGACAACGATGGCTGTGACTTGCATTTCACACCAGCACTGCATACAAGGTTTTCGGCTTTTAGATCTGGCTCTAGCAGATCACTGAGAGCTGATGGGTACTAGGGGAAACTGGTGCAGAGTATAGAAAGAAACTGCGAAAGAACAGCAAGGAGCCTCATATAACAGGAAATGACACTAATTGTGCGGTAGGGTAACTACAGAGGAGAGACTATGAGACTCTGGGCAAGAGAAATAGGATGAGATCAAGAAACCTGACCATTGGAGGCTGCACTATGTAGGTGAGGAGAATGGGACAGATAGCTCAAACACAACGGGAATGTAGGGGCAGCTGTGAGGGACAAAACAGCTGAAGTTTAACTTCAAACAATCAGGAAATAAACTGTGCTCACCACAACACGTTCTCCCTTGCAAAGCCAAGGCTGGCACACATGGTGGAGGACATTCATGATTCTTTTGTCACCTCCTCCCTCTACAGTATGGGTCCATATCCAGGACCATAACATACTCCTACTATCCCCACCAGCTGCCGCTTCGGCGGAGGCCATCATACAGGCCTGAAAAGCGCTAAAGGTGCTTTCTCCAGCAGTTGTCAACATGATACCCACAACTTTGAGCAGTTCTGCCACAGGCCTGCTATTCTTGGGAGGTCTGATAGAGGCTTCCATTTTCAAGCTTTGAGAATGTCACACAAAATTTAAGAAAGCATTATTATTATTGCAAAGTCATATCCTCAAAAAGTCATCCTGAATTGAGCCACTTTGTATATGCATTATGTTACAGTGTAACTACAGGATTAAACATTATTTTTTTTCATAGAATCTGCTCAGGCTGGGCATATTCTAGTGATAAACTGTGTAAGGAAGATGACTGGAATCTATAGC